TAAAACATAAGCAACATGAGAAAGAGGAAATCATAAAATCAAGAAATCACAATAAGCATTCTGTGTCTTGTAAATGACGATGTAAATTACACTGGCAAATACACACATCCAAAAAAAAACATTAATGCCCAAATACTGACACTTTTTTCATCAGCAAAATATTGTTAAAGAAGATAGGGGGGGGGGGGGGGGAGATAGATTGCAGCAACTTAACTTAAACTCTTGTAATTCTTGAGGAAAAAAAATTACTGGCAAGACAATTTCAGTCTGGCAAAAATTTCACTGAGGCCAGACCCGATAAAGGAAAAATGAGTCAATAAAATACAACGATACAGAAACATCTTCTTTCTGCCATTTCACTCAGTTCGTTAATCAACACTGCAACTTTATTGTTCTTGTTTCTGCAGCAGCAAATCCCAGTCAGTCAAGCACCAATCGACCGCTTAGTGTAGGATTCCACCAAGCAAAATCTAGAAAAGCGACGCATGACAGACTTACACTGAGCAGTCAAAATGTAGACATTGACTTTGGAAAAGTATGGTGGCAAGGAGTTCAGAAAAATAATTTAAATATATATATAGGTCTACCCAACAGCTCATGACTGCTACTGGGCACCAAAAAAAACTTTTCAAAGACTAAAATCTTCACCAAAATGGGATAGAAATCAAACCTCATATTTAACATTGCAAATTGGATTATCAAAGCAAAATACTTTCACAAACTGGGTTTTCACACACCCTCTTACCAAAAAAAAAACTAACAATTTCAAAACATTTTTTTTTAAACAACTAAAATTACAAAAAGGAAAAAAAACAAACCAATCATACACTCAAACAGCATTCTTAACCTCCTTAATTAGACCTAAATGTATCAAAAGAATTTTAAAAAGAACAAATGTCATAATTCACTTACATTATGAACAGAAACAAAAGGGCTTTGTCGAGAGCTGTGACCTACACAAGGTCGTTAGATTCCAAAATGTTACAGTTGAAGGAATATCTTTTGCCAATTCATTTCACCATTATGATCAATACTATAACTATAACATATCCTCCACATGACTTCAGTTTTCCCTTAGAAACTAAAACCAAAATAAACATTCTTCTTTGAACATTGTACGTGACAAAAATATATGGAGCTGTAATGAGGGCACACCATTTTAAATTCTATTCTCATACCCCCCCCCCCCCCCAACCATTTCATTTTAGGCTGCACAAATTCTGAAAAAGGAAAAAAGGAAAATCGTATTCTAAGATCTCTCAAGAGTGGTATAACATATGTGAGGCAGCATGGTGAAATCAGGCGCTCGTCAAAATAATCAAAGTGAAGAAGCTTGCATTTTTCCGCAGGTTTAATAAATTTTAATCTCATTTTTATTTTTTGGCTCAACACCATTCATGCTCTCAAAGAACACATTTCTGTGAGGATTTTACTGAAAAACGTTGATTAAAGGCACAAAAAATGTAAATTTTCAGTTTCCAAGGACTTTCAAGCTAAGGAAATAACTCATCTTTGGCGGCCATTTTTTCCCTAATTTTACCTCTGAAACCATGTGACCCTAACCTCCTTCATTTGCAAATATCTCGACTTCTATTCAAGATGAATGGATATTTTTTCATCCAAAGCAAGACACCTGAACAAGCTTTAAGATGATACCAATAACTCTACATGCCCAAATAATATTGACGAGAGCCTGATTGCACCACATCGTGACACATATACAATTTCTAAGCTAAATGGTGAAGAATACCCAAATATCAAATCCCAGCATAAGACTAGAAAATATAAGATATGATACAGTGGAACAGAGCCACACATATTTAACAAGTAGGGCCTAACTTCCATACTCAAAATTTAATTTTTTTTTTAAATTTTGTAAAGTGAGTTCTGAGCTTCTACCCTAAACAGCACAGCTCAAATCAAAATGCTTTTATAATATTTTCATTTCACAGATCATTGGTTCCTTAAAGACCAGCCTAAAAAATAATTTAAAAAACAAAAAAATATATATATATATAAAATATTATATATAGATCTATTATAAGATAAGAATCTCATGAACCTAAATTTTTATGAATCTTTTCTTTATTCAGAACAGTATTGCACTGTTTTATGTTCACCCAACAGACACAGGATAGAGCTTAAACACTTAGTCTTTCATTGTATAGTGTAAAGAATTATCTGAAAGACCAAACCTCTGAGAGTGAGAAGGAAGTAAATACTACAATATACATCCACCGGAATATATTGAGCATATCTATTATTGTTATAATATGCGCAAATACCTACTAACATAAACACACATACCATACACATACATGAAGTACATACACATGCAAACAAATATTTGTCATATATATATATATGTGTTTTGATGTATGTACATGATATTCATGAATATATGTATGAATATGTGTGAGTGAGTGATAGAATGTGTGTGTGTGTGTGTGTGTGTGTGTGTGTGTGTGTGTGTGTGGGGGCATCTCCCTGTGTATAGTACAGAACATCTCTAAATGTCAAAATGCAGTCCATTTCACGTCAACTTGGAAGGTTTTTTTTTTAATAAAGCAAAAGAATATAATATAAAACTTACTAAAGTTTTATATTGTGTAAAGGTTAAGTCACATTTTAAAAAGATTTCTTAACTTTCATTTCCATTCGTTTTCCCTTTCTCATGTCGTCAGCAAACTCTTAGAAAATATGACCACAGTTACACCATTATAGAATTTCTCTATAATCATAGTAGTACATTATGCAAAAGAACAGACTACCAAAGGTGACCGATTGTATTCTAGATACAACATTAAGGGACCAAAGGTAGCAACTCTTTCACATCTTGAAGGACATAAATTGAAAGGGAGCTGAAGTTTGAGTTTGTGTAAAGAAGATATCGGCTCACTGACGGGCATTTCAAAAAGAATATTCTAATATCCGGAAATAGAAGAAGAAAAAAAACCCAGAGGTCTGAGACGGTTGAAAAAAAAATTAAAAAATACATGGAGAGGTAAAGGAAGAGCATTTAAGATATCATTTTACTCATGTAGGTCCCAACGGAAGAGTTCATTTATAAAAAATCTAAACGGAAGTGGGAGGTACTATGGTAAACATTTATCATAGACAACCAGTAGCTCATCACATTGGAGATAAAAATCACAGGATCTGAAGCTGTGGTGATGTGAAGACATAAAAACAAATAATAATTGAGAAATATACTTTCTAAAAGCTGTTGGTTTGAAGAAGGAGATTTTGAGTCAAACATCTCAGCAACCACATATATATTTCATAATCATACACAAAGTAGATCAACATTTTACATTTTCATATAATGGTATAGGTTTAATACTATCAGGTTATTTAAGGGGCGGGACCTCCTAGTATAACGTCCGTCTCCGATACGACCGAGCCAAGTGGGAAGTTCGTGTAAAGTGCCTTTCCCAAGGATACAACGTCGGACCGAGCTGAGGCTCGAACCCCCGAACTCGCAATCTCATGATTACGAGTACGGTATCCTAACCACTAGGCTACCGACGCCATTTTACATTTTCAAACAATGGATATAATTACACATCTTAAATGTATTGAAAACACAAAACGAAGTCACAGTAAAAGCGATGATTCTGGCCCTCACTTTGGTTCTTGTCTGATATCTTGACTGATATATGATGTATGCAATATGAAGAGTGCCATACTGACTCACATTTCGATGATTGCTGCTGAACAGTGAACATTTTGAAGTGAAAGCAGAAATTGAAAGAGAAAGGTGCATCACTAGTTTCTCAAAAAAAAAAATGATCAGATAACATCTAAAATAACAATAGGCATTTCGAACAAGTGTCATCATAATTTTCCTCACGATATCGAGGCTCCTGAAAAAAGTCATTTCAATTTCTTTAAACCCTCATTTATGAAAAACATGAATAATATTGATATGATGAAAAGATGAGCAGAACAAACTGATCATACGTACATTTAATCAATGGTTAACTTGGCACATATATCTGATTTCACCTTAAAGGCAAACAAGGCAAAACTACAGCCGACCTTTGTAATCAATGGACAATTTTTTTAAAGTTCAGAAACTTTACAAATAAATTTTCCATTGAAGTAGTACGAGCTGAGGTCAGGTATAATGCAGAGATCAGAGATTTTTATGCTGGTGCCTTTAGTAGATTAGTAAACATCAATCTTAAGCTACTAAAACACTGGAAAGCCTGCAATGTATCACAGCAACGAAGAAACAGCTGTTTATTATAATCAATGTATATTAATAAAAAAGCAGTAATCACTACGCTGTCTTTACACAGCGTATCAAAAGCTGAAAGGGTATTTAAAGTAAATTTATGCTGTGAACATATATTTTATCTATAGCCGGGTATCACTTTCAACAACAAAACTTTCATAACTTCACAATAACTCCCCTGGCTGGCCGGTCCACATCAATCTATAATTTTAGTTCCTACAGGAGACATACAGTGATGTCGCCTGTTATTGGCAAATATCACAATCCTCATGTTCTGACCATACCCGTTGTCATGTACCCATTCGCAGTTGCATGAATGAGAAGAGAATAGGAGGGTAAATTATAATTCTACTGGACACAACATCCTTCAGAGTAAAACTGGGAATTAAACTCACACTCACAGCTTTTTCATGTCAACACTTTACCATTGAAATATGAGATCCATATGCAGCCAATAAGGAATACATATCTATAATTCCTGTCCAACTTTCAAACACTAACCTTAAACTTTGACAGAGTTTTCATTGACACATTAAATTCAGCTTTGGAAGGGATGAGAATTCATGAGGAGTCTAGGAGCTATGCGAAAAACGATTTTGTTCAGACTTTAAAAATGTTATCAGTTTTAAAAACACATAGTTCATTAATTTACGCAAATTCTCCCTAAATAAGCTATTGATCCAGGACAAATAAACATATGAAAACCAGATTATCTCAAAAGTCAATAAAAATGACAACAAGTGCTTTAATTTGTATATAATTATGCATGATACCTTTCTCAAGATATATATAGAGGCATAAAGCCAGTTCATCGATAATACAGAAACAAAAGTATGTATGAGGAGATTTTAGGAAGAAATAACGGGAAGGAAGGAAGGGAAGAATACATAACAGTTGAAAAAAAAAAGCAATGTGGCTGACAATCGTAACAAATCTGAGTACTGGAGAAAAAGTGTGAAGGGAAAATAGAAATTATAAAAGTCATGTACATTATATTGATAGGAAGTTAAAAGGTATTCTCAAACAGAGAAACGCAGGTTTGACAGTTAAAAAACCCAGTAGCCTGCCCCAACAATGATCGTTCTAGAGGTTATTGTAGCGAAGGACGTTGAGATTCTCAGCCCTCCTATCATCTCTGAACACGCCTCTGTCATCGTACTCATCGTCAACGACGACAGCCGACTTCTCCGCCTCCTCGCCCTCGTACAGATCCATGGCCAGGACCATGATCATGACTATGTTCTTCACAATGAGGGGCGAGACCTCCTCCCCTTGCTTGTGCCACATCAGAATACGGATGGACAGTAGCGGTGTGTTGACCACAAAGATCTGAATCAGTTTGCGCACCGTGCTCATGTTCTGCGAGATAGGGTGCACGCCAAAGTGACTATGACTCAGCATCATAAGAGGAATGATGGGCAAGAGGAAGTTGATGCAAGCAATGACAATCACGGTCCACTCAAACACTGGCTCCATGGCATCTTTACTGTCCTTGTTGAAGAAAATGCTCAAGATGTCCACACAGTCTATGATATCAAAGGGGACAATGCCCGTCAACAGATTGATGTGGGTCCGGGCCGGAGTACCCAGCATGGCAAAGTGGTGAGCTCCCACAAGCAGAAGAAACAGCACCCCAGCCATGGCCAGTGTAAACTTCAGCATGTTTGTCCCAAAGAAAATGTCGGACTCAATTTTGTAGGCAAAGTTTTTGTAAATCAGAGCAACCCGCACAGCTAAGATCACAGAGTAAACCAACCATGCAAAATAAACCAGAGGAAAACCTCTTGCTTCCACCTGCAAGTTTGTTTTCTTATGCTGCTCCGTAGGCAAATGTGAGTTACGAGCCGAAATTTTCAGCTCACGGTAGGAAATAAAAAATGCAACAAAAAAGCTGAAAATAATGGCTACGTCTCCAGCAATCCAGGCATACCAGCTGTGGTTATTGTACTTCACGAGATAATAGTCCAGAATTCCTCCCTGGAATGTGGCCAGAACAATCACCGAAATACGGGTCGGCAAAAATAAGAAGGGATCGCACATCTTTCGATTTTGCGACATTGTGAAAAGGCTCTTTCACTAGACTAAGACAAATTTTCTTCACTGTCTTGGCACTTGATGTCTAGAAGTTTCAAGATTCATGTACTACAACATGCTCGAATTGCTTTCATGGCATAGAATTTCTTTTCATCAAACACAGACTGTAGATCATAATGCGCCCCACATGGGCTACAATTCACAACCTGTTCTTTGTTTCTGATTAGATTTTTTTTAAAGCAATGTTTCACAAGCAAATGGCTGGAGATGGACAAGCCTTGCTTGATACCTCAAAATTTCTTCTCTGTACATTCGATGTTCACTGGTGGTGATGGAGAGAATATATATATTTTTCCACAGCTGTGGTCCGTGACACATCTGAAATGTAAAAAAAAAAGTAAAAGAAATCAATAAAAAAAATGGAGAGTGGGTAGAGTCAACAGCAACATAGTGCCACTTAGGATGGTAAACAAACACCACCAGTGGACCAAAAAAATCAATAATGAAAATGAAAGGCATGGAGTGGGTTTACATACGTGTGTCACTTTAACAAATACAAAGTAGGAAAGGGAAGAAAGGAAAGAACATAAAACAGCCATGAATCTTCAACACAGCATAATTTATGAACTCATCTCTTTTTCTTTACACTGAGAGAGAGCCGTAAATCATTAAATTATGCACAGCAACTAAACAACAATAACTTTTCGACCACTTGCAAAAATTTTGGAGACGTCAACTTGGAGAATCATCAGAAATAATAATGCCAAACCATTAGACCCACTTGCCACAGAATTTTATGTAGTAACTGATAAGGGCCATTCTTTTTGTTGAGGGCTTTCTGACTTGAAGCAAAAGCAGCATTTCAACAAACATAAAAACCATGTCAGATCTTGACAAAGACGCAGTTGTTTCAATGAACTATTCTATTCTTTGCATAAAGGCCAAAACTTCTTGACAACTTAAGTGAAATTCAATCTAGAAACTCTAAAGGGCACCCTACTATTTTTATAGAGATAGACTGGGCCTATTAGATACTATTACTAATTTAGTACCAGATCACAAGAGGTAATAATAATAATAATAATAATAATAATAATAAAAATAATAATAATAATTACATTTATACACAGTGAATATCCAGGATCTACTGCATGTTCTACACATTTTACAACTATATAATTATTACCCCAGAAGATCCTACAACACTCAGAAACTTTCTTGGTCTCCCAGGAAGCATAGAATCTACATCAGATCAGTGAAATGGTTCTGCCAAATTCGGCAATCTTCCAGATGTGCATGTTTTTCTATTCACATTTGCTGGATTGGGGCATAAGGTAAGGGTTAAGGTTATTACCCTTACCCTAACCCTTATTTCTATCCAAATCCAGCAAATATATGAATAAAATGTGCAGATCTGAAAGATTGCCATGAACTACCCCTACCTCTTTCTATAATATGATAAGAAAAGTCGAACTTATGTCAGATGGAATCACATCGAAGTCCAAAAAATATTCCGTCTCCGATAAGGTTTGCTTGTCCGGTTGGCGAGCAGTGGTCAAAATTTCACACCTCTAAAGTGTTATCCTCTCTGATAATGATGGCATGAGTCATTTCTATGTATCCGTTGTCAGAACTGCCGTAAGCTGAAAAAAACGTCTTTTAAAAAAAATTTTTGGTACCATATTTTTTTATATTTGCTAATCGAAAGCCTGACCTTACTTGTGTGAAAAAAATCAAAGTGGAACTGAGACTAGTTTTTTAATAAATTAGAATTTAAATGCGGAAGAACGCTTTTTTAAAATGGTTACGCTGACAAAAAACCTCTTTATCTCAAAACTGCTGCAAATTTGTTTAAAGGGTTTTGTCAGCTTATGGCAAGCAAGTGCTTGCATTTTATTTTGAAACCATTGTTTGACCTATTTAAACCGAAACTTTTGAACATCTTCTTTGCTTTCACCCGCCCCAGCAAAGTAATAAAGACAGTCAGCCAGTGCCACCCCTCCCACGAATGTAACAAAGATTCTCTCACCACTAAGGGCTCACATGGATGCAGTAACATCTACCCCCAAATTGCACCCCTACTCTCCTTCCTTGCCTGGTGGCATGGCGTAAAGGTTAGAGCCAAAGCCTACTGTCTTTGTTTTGGTAAGTGTTTTACGGGGCTCACAACTGCATTAGGCAAGGTCATGTGAGTGCCCAGGACACATTAAACATTTTCACTCAGGTAGGAATTAATTTTTAATTTTGCCCCGGTGGCAGCCGAAACCTACTCTCATTAATTTAGGACCACCAAGGGATTTTTAACGTGTGCACAACTTGCACATGTGACCTCTGAGATTTTTCACCCTATCCGAGAAGGCTAGGTGTTAGACCTTACCTACCCCAAGATCAGGGGTGTGGCTGAGAGACAGCAGTAAGAAGAAGCCAAGAAGTAGCAGTAGTAAGGCTGCAGAAAGAGTCAGGAGCCTAGAGAAGGGGACAGAAAGTGGAGATGAAAGCAGACGACAGAACAAGGTTAGAGAGCAGGAAAGGAAGTGAAAGGAGAAAATTTTAGACTAGAAAATTTTCGGTCACCGTCAGGATGCGAACTCAGGACCTATTGAACCAGAGGCCAACACCATAACCTCTAGACCACGAGAGCCCCCATCTTTACAGTACACATTCATAAGAGCCAAAGGAACCAAACTTCATGGTTTTGTTTCAAATCAGGTCTGAGTGGGCAATGCATTTTCCATCTTAGAAAGGTAAAAACCCTCCGCAGGGAAGGAATTTCTCTTTACATTTCCTTGTTAGATAGGCTTCCGTTTTACAGAGGTAAGGATACAGAGTGCCATACTGAAGTGAAAGCAGAAATTGAAAGAGAAAGGTGCCTCACTAGTTTCTCCAGGTGGTTCGGGGGGGGGGGGGGGGGTGGGGTGGAATAGGGGGTAGATTCCGTTGTCTTACAGAGGTTTTCATTAAGGCAGGTTCGACTGTATTCTAAAAAATGTGTTTATGCTTTAAATAAATCTATTGTTATGTATATTATATCTTAAATAAGCCTATTATTAAGTGGGTTTTAATCTATAAATAAACTATATTATTAACCCAGCAGACCTGGTAGCATTCAGAAATAATCTCCACTTCCCGGGAAGCATACAGTGCAAGCTGCCATTTTTTATGGTAGCAATTTGGGAAGGCAGCACATCATTAAAATAAACAGGTTGATCAGAAAGTCATCAAGAACAATTGGTAGAGACCTAAGTAGCTTTGAATATCTGTACAAGTAAAACATTCTAAAAAAGGCGGAAATAATGCTTAGTGACCATAGCCACCCACTGACATCAAAATTTCAACTATCAACCTGCGGTAAACGATACATTTCCAAAAAAACAAGAACAGCTAGATATAGAAATTCATTCGTACCAACTGCAGTGAGTTTAGTTTAGTAAAGAGTTTTACGGCACTTGCAACACAATAAGGTCATATAAGTGCCGAAGATTAGAGGTGTTACAACTACAGTGAGGTTACTGAACACACAATGCTACAAATGAGAGAGAGAGAGAGAGAAAGAGAGAGAGAGAGAGACAGAGAGAGAGAGAGAGAGAGAGAGAGACAGAGAGAGAGACAGAGAGAGAGACAGAGACAGAGAGAGAGAGAAGGAGAGAGAGAGAGAGAGAGAGAGAGAGAGAGAGAGAGAGAGAGAGAGAGAGAATGTTTTACGGAGCGGATTGTCCCAGCACGTGAGACATGTATTTTTACTAATATCCCGTCTTGTTGTGCATATGCGTGAGTGTACCTAATCTTTCTTGTAACATCTACTGCCATTGGTAACGACCAAGACAACTTTCTCCTTGCGAGATGAATAAAGATTGTCAATGACATTTGTTGTGTTGGAGTGGTCGCTCAACGTGTCGAGGTCGGATGGGCAGCCTGCACTCGTGTAACTGTGTGTGCGTGGGGGGGGGGGGGTTCTGTCTGGGCGCAGAACGTCGTAGATACAAATGCGTCACAGCCCCCCCCCCCCCCCCCCCGCAACTGATAATTATTACAATTATAAGCTGGTCTTGACGTAGATCTACGTAAGGAATTGTGCACTGGTCTATGGAATCAAACGTTACCATATGCTAGGCTTTACACAGCAACACAACTTTTTGGCACACAATCGAGATGACACAGGCATGCATTTGAACGAATCGGTCTTCTTTTTTTTTTGCACAGCTCATAATATGCAGGCATTTTAGGCACCACTTGTTACATCCCTTTATACATTACTTGCTCAGTGCCTGTATTTATCTACACAAAATCTAATGTTTGCTATTAGTATTACTAACACTCGGATTCAACAAGATGTTGGTTCAGGCCCGGCGACATCGTTGAATCCGAGTTCCACTGTATTTAAATTAACCTAGACTTCGAGATGTAGATTCTACTAGTAGATGACAGAAGAAAAAAAAAAGAATGTGGAGGGCTCACTTTTTACAGTTATGTATGGGCATCATAGAAGAAGAAGACACGCAAGTACAGTAGAACGTGCCTTAAACGAAACCTGTATAAAACAGAAACCTGTCTTAATGGAATCTTCCCACTCCCCCCTTAATATCCTCTTTAATTATCTATTCTATAAAACGGAAACCTCTCCAACGCAGAAATGGAAAGAAAAATCCGCTCCCTTCCGGGGGTTTTACCTCTCTAAGATGGAAAATGCATTGCCTGCTCAGCCCTGATTTGAAACAAACTCGCAAGTTTGGTTCCGCCGGCTCTAAACTTAACGTCATGGCCATGCCTCCGGGCAAGGAAGGGGAGTAGGCGGTGCAATTTGGGGGTAGATGTTACCCCATCATGTGAACCCTGAGCGATGCAGATGGTCAGTGTAGTGTGGGTGTCAAATTTCACGACTGCCCGTGAGAGTGCTTGAGTAGTGAGCCACTACGAAAACTTTCCTGGGTAGCCAGAAGCCAGAGGTGTGAAATTAGATTGACTAATGCCTGCCGCCCTGATCGTACGGCCAGCCAAGAAGAGAGTTCCTCGAATCGTTGTTACATGATGGCAGTGAAGGGTGGCATTGGTTGACTTTACACCAATGGGTGGGGGGCTTAGGGTAGAAGCAAAGGAGATGTTCAAACGTTTCTGTTTTTAATAAGTCAAACAGCGGTCCTAGGAAATGCAAGCACTGGTGGTAATTGGGGGCGCATTAGGTTTCGCCCCATATGATGCAACAGGAGACTACCTGTCAAAGTCTGAAAATCGTTTCGCCTCAAATCGTATTCGAATACAAATTAATAACACAGAAGATAGAAGATCGATTACTTTGTGAACGCCCCAGAAACCAAATTAATTTGTAAATGCGCCCTCCGTGTCAATGAGAACTCGGGAAGGTTGAACTATAACGACTCAACCTCTCCCCTTCTCCCTTTATTGTACCGGACTCTGTCTTGCTCATTCCCACTCTTTCACATGAAGAATGGCTGCCCAGTTTGAACAAACATTTTAGTAAGTGTCTAGTGTGTTGCTGTGTTGAAACGACTATAAATTTTCCTAGTTTTGTAGAATTACTCTCGGTCAACAAGGAGCAAGAACTATCTATGTACATTTTAAAAAGGGGGTACCAAGCTGTTGCAGTTTCAGGATTCAAGTTTCGTTTGGACAAGAATCAGCAAAACACTGTAGACATTGTAACGCTTTTTAAAAACAATCTTTGGGTTTTTACAACGATTGTGTACCTGATATCAGATTTTTATCTTCACTGTCACGCCATATATAAAACCATCCTACTCACTCAAAGTTCTACTTCCACGTCCAAGTTAATGGCAGGGGCATACTCGCAACGTACTAAATTAAATCTAGTTGTAAACGAATTCAAACTGCCGCGAAACTATGAAATAATGATTACTTTCCACAGGTACACGCTGTGACGTAATTGCGGCGAAATGTCGACATCCCGTAATTGGATAAAAAGTAAGACTGGTGCATCTCATTATTCATTATCAGACAGGATAGCGCTTGAGAGATGTGAAGTTTTGACCACTGCTTGCCGATCGGACAAGCGATCCTTGATCCCATCGGCTGGGCCTTTGAACCCCCCCCCCCTCCCCGCCCCTTTCCATCTCCCCTATTCCCCTGTCTAAGACGGAATTTTCTTCTCGCTCCCTTGCAATTCCGTCCTACACAGGTTCGACTGTATTGTAAGTGTAAGGTCTAGATCTACATCTAGTCACAAATTTAGATCTCAAGATCTAGAATCTAGATCTAGATCTAGATCTATCTAGTATGAAAACTAAGATCAAGCTTCCAGATCAAGCACACTACAATACAAACCCCATTGTTATGTTACAGAAAGAAACATTGGCGTACAGTGGGAGTGGGAGCAACACCTATTTTTAGAGACTAGACTAGATCTAGGCCCGGAAATCTAGATCTAAAGTCTAGATCTAGATCTAGTTTAGATATCAAGATCTACAAAACCTAGATTCTAGTCACTCCTAAAGTCAAATTTGAAAGACGTGGCCATGCCATGCCATAGCACACTGGTCGAGATCGGTCTCCAGGCTAATCACTATTATTGGCACTGTGTCATAAGAGAATTAAACGTCCAGGTCAAATCTAGCCGAGATAACAGACAAACACACAAATATACAGACCAGAATGGGAATGAGACCTACACAACTGAATAAAATTGTTTGGTGACTGTGAAGAAACTGATAATCTAGATCTAGAATCTAGGTTAGCAGCCCACACAATGTGAGCGTTCACCCGTCAACGACAACGACTCATTGACCTCATTTGCCAGAGGGGAAGTAGTTTGTTTACCTTCCAAGCAAAGACCTTTGACCTCAATTTCTTTTGACCCCGTGACCTCGAAAAGTTTGCAGTTGCTGTTGATTGTAGCCTACTTTATTTAAGTTATTGTGCGTTAGCTAGATCTAAATCTAGATCTAGTCAAAACTGCCGAATTAAAACCTCGAAAGTAAACGTAAAGATTGTACCTAATGTTGATATAGATTCTGAGTTCTAAGAAGAGCATTTCAAACTCAGAAAGACCACACCATATTATTATCCATCAATAAAAGAAGATCGAGAAGCTTTTGATCAACACCAAGTAAGTGGTAGCCACCCCCCAAAAAAAACAACAACAAACAAACAAAATCTCTCCCGTGGCTACATTACTACGTTTAATATTTATATTAGCAGAAAGCTAGGCCTAATAAAGTTAACCGTTTAAGAATAGGTTCGAACTCGAGTGGGATCCAAATTGTGATCTCCCTTTTACAAATTTTTAATGTTTCCTGACGTGATCCCCCCCCCCCCCCCCCCCCCCTTCTGAGCCAGGCGCCTTGACAGAGTGGACTACTAAAGAAATGTTTTTTGAAGGACCAATTTAAATTACACGTGTACCGTGGGGGTGAGTTTGAGTAAAGAGAAGCACCTCGACATAATCGGTCATAGTGCGGGGAATTTTTCAGTGGCAAGACAGAAACAACAGCAGGGAATTTTAAGAAAAGATTTAAGTAGTACATGTACCTGCGGGTTGGAATTTTTAAAAGTGGAGAGTAGGGGCACAAAAGATTGACCAACAATGCACAAGAGATGACATACTGAGAACTTGAGGGCTAGAACAATTGACCTGGCTGGAAGAATGGAACTTGGAAGATTTGTGAAGACAAACTGGAAAGAAAAATGGGAACACAGGCAGAATTGACATATGAACAATACAGGACGACTAGGACACCGTAAAAGCAGAGGACATAATTTATCTGTCCCCGTGGTTTTATGCACCCCGCATAATTTAGCAAAATTTGATCATTTTTTGCAAAATTTCGGATTATTTTCCTTTATCATTCTTTGTTAATATTAACTAACAACATCGCATAATTTCACATTTTTGGACTCAGTTTGCATAATTTCAGAATTTTTTTTCTTGCATAAAACAACGGGGACAGATGTAGACAGTCTCCAACATTTCGTTTTCTTTTTAGAAAGATTTAAGCTGAATGCACGGGGGCGACAATTTAAGGAGATGTGGGCTTCTTCAAAGCTGGATCAACTTCTTTGTTTCACGTTTTGTAAGTGTTTTACGGCACTTGCAACACAATTAGATCATATAAATGCCGACGATTAGAAGCAGGTTTCAAGAGAGTAACAAACACAAAAAAGGAGGAGAGATAAGGATGAGAGATGTTTAATAGGAAAGAAGGAGCAACCCCCCCCTAGAGCACCCGCCAACCACCCACACTCAATTACTTCTGGCAGACTTGTTAGGCTACTACAAAAGGAGCTAAATGATCGTAAAATTTACACGCCTCCATCAGTATAATTTTTCTATCATTTAAAACTAAGAGGTAGGCTGCTTGAGCCTTGTCTATCAGGCCAGCTCAAGTAGTCTGCCATAATGACAGAGACAATGAAGGAAATATCATCTTCCCTACAGAGGAATAAAACTCTTCAGCATGCAGGAAGGCGAAATAAGCCTGACTACTACTACTATACCACAGACACTGGTGAAAAAGTGGAGACTGATCAGCGTTTGTTAAATTAAAGAGAAGCACATCAACGCAATAACGGCCATAGTATAAAGCAGGAAAGAAGCAAGATAAAATATAGTCAGATACAACAGAGGGAAAGAAAAGAAACAGGACCTACCAGTGGCGCTCTCCAACCACCAGTGGACTGATTTGCACTGACTTGAGTTAAAGTATGAGAGACAGACAGATACAGTGGGGTGACAATTTTAAAAAGGACCTACTAGTGACATTCGCTACCCATCCATTGATTTGAATATCTGCAAGTGGAGATATACTTTGACAGACAGACAGACAGACAGAGAGTTTGAGTTTGAGTTTGAGTTTTACGGCGCTCGCAACTGTATAACGTCATTGAGTGCCAGAAGATTAGAGGTGTTACAAGAGAGTAACAAACATAAAAAAGAAAAAGGGGAGATAAGGACGATAGATGTTTGATAGGAAAGAAGAAGCAAACCACACCAGAGCACCCGCCAACCACCCACACAGAGAGAGAGGGAGAGAAAGAGAGAGAGAGAACAACAGAGCAAGATAGAAAGAGAAAGATATTCAAAAAATACTTTCTAGAAAAAATAAAATAACAACAACAGAAAGTTCACATAGCAGTTACAAGATTTGTATTTACTGGATCATGTGACACGTCATTCACTTTTGTCATACAAAAATGCCAAGTTCCATAATATTAAAATTGATGATTTCCAACAGAGATGCCAAACCTGTGATTCAACATCATTCTTAGATAGGGCTGAGCCAAACAAAATACATGTCATGTACTTTTGAATTATAAGGAAAGTACAAAACTCGAACCAGAGTCTTGTAGGGATACTAACAGAGTCAATGGTGATGTCCCATCTTGAAGTTGAAAATTAAAACCTCGACATACTCACGCATCCCAGAAAATCATTCATATGCACTGAAATAAAATTTAAAAAAAAAACCCAACCCAAAATAAATCTTTTTTGAAGCTACTACGATACAAAACTAAAACAACAGAATAACAATAGCCAGGTAGCCATTTCCACCTGGGTAAAATGAGGAAAATTTTGGTAAAGTGCTTTTCCCAAGGACACAAAACCGTGTCCCTGGCGGGATTCAAACCGATGACCTTTTGGTAGCAGCCTAACCACTAGACCACCAATGACTGATATCTTTTCAAGACCCCCACCTTCAGCCGTGAGGTCAACCAAGCCTACTATTATGGTCACTCAGTGGCTCCTATTGTGGACAATGTCTACATGTGGTGCTGGTGGCCTATATTCCTTTAAGTAGTTAGGCTCTCGAACTCGCAAATGTATGTTGTAAGACCATTGGTTCTAATCTCGTCAGGGGCCTAAAGTTGTGTCCTTGGGAAATGCACGTTACACAAATTTTGCTCACATCACCAAGGTGGGAAAGAGTACCCGGCTATAGACAGCAAAAGATCTTGTCAGTTTGTTAGTGTTTTGGCACCTTGCACTGTACGCTTTGCAGGAAGTTGAGATTGTTTCAGAATGATATCAGATCTGCAGGGGTAATAATATAGATTGTAAAGCTCATAGTGCTTGCTGCTGAGTTGGACTTTAGGCTATTTAAATGCTACTTTTTTTTATTTATCACAACATAAAGACAAATTTAATTTCCACATATCGTCACTATTGCCCATGTCATTTTTGTTATCTTGAGAAAACATGTGTGCTAAATACAGATGTCCATCATAATTTACCCATCGCTTTTGTTTTAGTAAGAGTTTTACAGCACTTGCAACACAATTAAGTCACAATAATATAAGTACCGAAGAATAGGTGTTACAAGAGAGTAACAAACACAAAAAAAGGAGAAGAGATAAGGAAGGATGACAAATGTTTGATAGAAAAGAAAAAGGAGCAAACCAAACCAGATTTCAAGACTGAAAGAGTTAACTACTTTGCTTGTGGAAGAAGGCTCGTTGGCTCTACGAGAAAGAAAAAAAACGTACTATACTATCCCTTGCAAGAATGTTATTCCGAACTAGGTTTCTTAATGGAGGATACAAATACAAGTGTTCCATCTTGAATATAATCTGAATTACATTTACATCCAGTTAGATACCAATCATCACTATAATACAAACTAGAGAGATCAAGATCAATCCTGCATGATCTCTTTTCTCAACCTCCAATTGGATTATATTAGTTTAGTTTTACTCCTACCATCATAATCATCTCATAATATAAGTATTCCTATGGCCTTTAATTTTAAAGCATGAAATATCAGATTATAATTGGGTCACAATCAGAATACTGATTATGTATCTAGCTGAAGACTATCATTGTTATCATTATTATTCCTTTACATCATGCAAGTCATGATTATGAGTTTGCTTGTGAGTGCAAGTATACTATTATATTACTATACTATGTTTATGTGTACAGATATGTGTGGAGGAGAGGATGTGTGAAAGAGTGTGTATGTGTGTGCACGTGGTGAAACACCAAACCAGTGTGCCAGAATCTAGACAAATAAAGACTTATCTTATGCTGTCTTATGAGCAATCCAAATGAAATAACGATAGCTGCCTTTTTTTATTTGTGACTACACACTGTAGAAAATCAGAAATATCAACAACAGTGTTAAGACAAATTGTTGTGCAAACTACATAATTGCATTTTACCAGATTTGATATTGAACTTTGCTTCAAATGATCTCAAAGTGGAAACAGAAATATAATATACACTTTACTACAACATGACAAAAAACTGGCTTTTACAAAGTCATTCTTTATTAACATATATTTATTTTCTCACACAATTTTTACCAAGCAAAATCAACTTTTTCTTCTTTTCAATGTAGGTATTTTTACGAACCCATTGACACAATTTAGATCCCTTAGGAAGTGGGCTTCTGACCCTGCCTATAAGGGCCAACCTGGTGGGGGGAGAGATACAACATCCCAGCAGAAAGACCCGACATACTTGACAAAAATTGACCCCACTCAGGAATCAAAACCAGATCTCCTGCATGCAACAGTGAAGCGCCTAACTGCTACATCACAGACGCCAGTAAGGTACTCAAAAACCAAATCATTGAAGAATATCATAAATAAATTAGGAGGAATGAATTACTTAATAAAAGTAAAAACAGCAACAACAACAACAACAAATGTATCAAACACTTTATGTGCAATTAAATATATATATATAGAGAGAGGCTATTAATTAAAACAACAATACTTTTCCCTGTGGCAACAGCCTCAAATTCAAGACACTGACACCCCCTGGAAAGACAAACGGCGAGAAAGAAGGTGGGTAGTGCCAAATTAATGGGCGTGTACTTCCAGTCAAAGATCAAAGATGGGGGGTGGGGCGCTGTTGTGAAGCTCCCATATCTTCAGTATCCACTACTTTTTTGCTCGTTTTTAAATTCTGTCCATCCTTCTCAAAGCACAAATACACCCACTACTGTGCTGAAATATATTTCTCTATAAATGTAAGTAACACAAAGTCGGAGAACAGACGCAAATAAATTTAGACAGAAGATTTAACTAAAGTAGGTCAACTACATTTCTCAAGTGTATGAATATTTATGCAAAAGACCTTTCTCTGCAGAAATCTATGGGGTTTTCAGTAGTAAGAGAATTGTGTAATTTTCAGACCAGGCTAGATATCACGTACAATAATTACTTTTATCACTCTGAGACAAGCATTAAGTTAACTCGAAATACATGTACTAAGCAAAAAAAATCAGATAAAATGGAGGAAAGGCAAGCATACAAATACAATAAATGTCACTTAAACTTTTTTTAAATCGCCTTAAAAATAATTGATCCTCTTCATTTTATTAGAAAGTACAATTATGGAATTACTTCAAATGATAAAAACCGTCAACACCTTGAATATTGTCCACTGCACGGCAAAGTAGTTTACATAATATGAAAGTTAGAATCAAGCCTAAAAAACCTATTAAAGAAAAATTATTCTGAAGTCCAACGGGTCCTTAAAGAACACTTATGCTCTGGCAAGAAGCTTGCACCTTTTGCTAGCCTTAGAACAGATGGTTGAAAGTACTGTAACACCTGCACAAGGTGCCCACCTTTGGTTCTGGTTCCATGACTGAAGGTGATCTCAGATGATCCTCTTTTTAAGGAGGAAAGTAATTAGTGGGTGATTGGCAGATACTCTAGTGTGATTTGCTCCTTCTTTTCTGCCAAACCTACAGTCCTTATCTCTCCTCCTCTTTTTTAATGCTTGTTACTCTCTTGTAACACTTGTAATCTTCAGCACTTATATGACCTTATTGTGTTGCAAGTGCCATAAAACTCTTACTAAAGTAATTGTACTTAGCATGCAACACAAAAGTCTGTCTGCATCACTATATCAGGATGCAAGTAAACACCCATTCAGCTGTATGCACAAGATGTGACTGGACCTCTAGTTTCATTTTTAAACAATATTTACAACAGGGGTATGAAAATATGCAGGAAGAAAATGAATGGTGTTTCCCCAAAAAAGAAGCCCAAGGTAGGTATTAGTAGTTTTACTACAAATGACACATACCCTGAGACCATACCAGAAAACGAGGACTATCACACATCAAAGTAAGCTCTACAATATTATTAAAGCATTAAAAAGATACCCCAAAAGTCCATGCATCATAAGTATTGCATATACTCGGGGGGGGGGGGGGATGAAATTAAAGACCAAACAAAAAATACCGTGTTTAGAGGAGAAAAAAAAAAAGAAAAAAAGAAACTAATCTTTCCTTTTATAGAAGAAACATTTTTCATGGAAATACATTTTAGCAACCACCTTCCATACCTATGTCTGTACACATTCATACATTCTCTCTATTACATTCAAGCTTCCATTTCAACCAGCAAAAAACACTCTCCCACTTATGTCCATTTGTGCAGCAGACACGGTCACACTTCATTCCACTACTAGATTAATCAGAGTCAGAGTCAGTGAAGACAAAGTCGCCGTTCTCAAGGTTGAATCGCACTCCAAACCTCTCCTCTTCGTCATCCGAGTGAAGAACATCCAACAATATCAGAGACAGCTCATCGTCCAACGAGATCAGAGAGTCATCATCACGAGACGCAAAAAAGTCCCACAAACTGTATTCTTCCACATGGTCTTCCCCATCCGCATCCACTCGTCTCCGTCTTTTCGGCCTGGCCTGTGGCGGAGCTATGGACCCATCCGGCAAAGCGTGTAAGTAGAAACATTTGTCGTAGAAAGGGCACTCTCCTTTACCTTGCTTGAAATACTGGCACGGCTTTTTGCTGTAAAGAGGAAAAACTTTCAGAATCCAATTAAAATAAATGTGTTAATTTCTCTTTCTTCATTAAAAGTTTGAAAGTGTATGTTACATTTGAGTATGAGTAATGAGAAGTACACCGACACAATAAGTCATCAACTACCAGGAAAATGCAAGGAAAAATACTCAGTAACGAGAAGTACACCGACACAATAAGTCATCAACTACCAGGAAAATGCAAGGAAAAACACTCACAAACAGCACATAGAAGATTTCAAAAGATAAAGCAACCCAGTGGCTTTCTCCTGCCACCCACACAACAAACTTTACCAAACTTATCAAAGTCATATAACCAGGAGAAAGGTAATCAATGCACGAATAATGAAGTGAAAATGAGGGTAAAAACCACCCTTGCCTTTGAGCACATAATTGTACAATATCAATTATCAACCCTTAAGTCAGAACAGAATTCCAAGCACAACAATACTGAAACTAGTCATGCAATTTTTTTTCTTCTAAAAATATTGATAACACGTTTCATATCATGGTTGGGGAGTCACTTATTTTGTTTCAATAAGAGTTTTACGACACTTGCTATACAAATAGGTTAAATAAATACGAAAGATTAAAGGTGTTAGAGAATTTTTTTTAAAAACCCAACAACAACAACAACAAAAATATTTTTAAAAGGGAGGAGAGATAGATGTTTGATAGGACAGAAGAAACAAACCACTCCGAGCACCTGTCAGCCACTAAAGGGTGTACGCTTTACCAAACACACCCTGTCTGCAAGATCAGAATATGACAAGAAAAAAAACCAGACAGAGAGACAGGCCTTTGACATGAACAGAGAAACACAGGGAAAGCCACATCACAAAACAGCCTGTCTGTTATCAGCGGCAAATAAGATCATCATGGTACAGCAGGACGCTGTTTTCTTGAGGCAGCACCATATTCATCACAGTTTTTCTCTGAGGGAAGGAGTAGTGGCAATCAAATGAGCTCAGTAGAACCACACCCTAACAGTCACACAACTTTGAGATGTTTCTCTTTGCCTGGGTTGAACGATCTGCCAGATATATAAAATCTACAGTCAAACCTGCTTTAACGACTACCTGTACAAACCCATATTGCTGTTTTACATTATAACGTCACCGTGTAAGAGTAAGACAGCCTTTTTCTTGACAATGGTGACTGTCTTAGACATTTCGATACATCAGAATTACAAAGTTCTATCTGACATTTTTGGTCATTTTGAATAACTGAGACCACGAGGTCAGAAATCAGCTGTTCTTTCTATCTGCTCTATCAAAATCGTAAGATTATTCGGATTCGTTATCAAGATATTCAAAGAATCGTATTAGAATAAGCTTGACATATTTTGAAGCTCAACATTATTTTACGTCAAATTTCTCAAAACTAGGTACTGTGCAGGCAGAACTTTGTAATTCTGAGATAGCAAATTTCAAGTGTATTTTAAAAGCAGGTCTCACACTGAGGGTAGTTCCGATTCTATTTTTTTTCCCTCACTGGCCCGGGCCTTCAATCAAGAGATCACCATGTTAGAGACATGGACAGAAGACAGAGCAAGTAGGCCTACAGAGATAGGGAGTCACTATCAAACTAGAGAGCATGTGTGGAAAAATAGCACCCCATTTTGGTGGGACTATGGACTATTCTTAACACCTGACCCTTTCAAGGCAGCAACTATCACCTCCATACAAAAGTCAGTAACTCTAAAACACACGCTCCCCTGACACCAAAACCCCTTCATTCCGGGGAATAGAGAAATCCAAACTCTCACCTTATTTCGGCTAGGTAGTCTGCAATGAGCTCCTTCTTCTTTTCTTCAGAGTCTACCCAGAACTCACTTGGAGTGACAAAGTTTGAATGAGTACGACAAATGGGACAGGATCTGGGGGAGAAAAGGTTGAGGAAATGAAGATTTGATGTCTTGGCCATCCCAAATGTGATTTATGCATGCGAAGACAAAGAAAAAGCTAAATTTTGAGCAATTCATTTAGTAAACATATCGATTGCTCAGAGTAAGACTCCATCATACGTTGAAATTTCACAATAACTGAAAGGAAAATATTCGTTGTACTGTTGAGAGAAATAAACTTTTCATTCCTAATACACACACAGCTTTGGCAGCAATCACATCGCCCAGATTCCAGTTGCCAAACTCATGTAACAAAATGCAACTCATATGGCTTCTTGTATGCAAGCTTTTCAAAACCTAGGAAAATATTAGAAAACCTTTTTTTCTTTTCGTGTGGCCTAAAACGAGGAAGACCATACATCAAAGACGTGTCTTTTATGTGACGTCAGTGGCCTAATGGTTAGGGTCTAAGCCTTGCAACCGTAAGATCGTGGATTCGAATCCCACCAGGGGATTGTGTCCTTGGGAAGGGCACTTTACACAAACTTTCCACACTTCACCCAAGTGGAAAAGGGTACCCTATCGGAAACAGTGAAAGATCTTGTCAGTTTGTTTAAGTGTTTGAGAATGTGAAATCCACTGCTTGTACTGTATGGCGTATGCTACACGGGAAGCCGAGAATGATTCTGTGTGTTCTAGGGTCTACTGGGGCAATGATACTTGTAAGCACATAGAGAGTATGCTGCAGAGCGTGGGTATGCGCTACTTAAATAAATGCAATTATTATTATCCTCTCACCTGTGGGTTTCTTTCTCTGCATACCTCTCCTTCCTCCACTCCTTGATACATGTCAAGCAGAAACAGTGGGCACAGTTCTCCAATAGACCAAAACGACGATCCACTGGGGCCCCGTTCTCTCCTACTTTCTCCGTGGTGACCTCTAAACAGATACCACATTCTTTCTCACTGCTGTCTTTCATGAGAAACGCAAGCTCCATCTCTTTCCTGTGCTCTTCTAGACATTCCTGAGAGGAAAGACGTTTAGTAAAGTGCTAAAATATAATAGTCTTGCACCCACCAGAATAAAACCTCAAAAGACTTCAGTTACTTCCTTGACAAGCCAATTCATTCCAATTTATCTCCCCCCATTACCCTGGAGCATACAGTACTGCTTGTTAGGAGCTTCATTCATTAATTTTAATAGATTCTACATTCACAGATATCCAAATGTTTAGTTTAAGCAGAGTGAATACGATGATAGGATAAAGCATTTTTCCAATGCATGTAACCTTTTACCTGGAAGAGCCAGGAATAGCGCTCATTAGCAGATCATACAGAAAAGTAATGAGGCTTGCCTCAAGCAGGAATTAAAATTAATACAGGAAAAGAGCTTCTTCACCAAAACACAACATCAACAACAAACTTCATCATTTTCAAGAACACATACAAATTGAAAAAATACACGAAAAGTTTTAACAGGAAATGAATTATGGGAACATGATAGACACTACCACATTTTTGACTTTGTGCAGACTATGAAGCGACTCAATGAGGGATAAGCAACAGAAATAGAGCTTGTGAAGGAACACTGTGTTAACATCACAAAACAACAAATTACCAGACAGGTAATTAACTCATGAAACAAAATCGACAAAAATATAATGAACTCATACTAAAATGTAAAACCCACTTTCAAACTTTTAATGAACAGCTATTAAACAATATTCAAACGCCACTAAATAATGCACAGGTTTGATACCTACCTTTTGATGTGACTCTCGGAGATCTTTATTAGTCGGATGCAATCGAGGCAAGCCACACATATCACAGACTTCGCCATGCAGATATGCACAGTTCTCAAACGAGCAATGCCCATGGGCAAAGTATGGGCAGAGTAAGTCCTCTTCTGTGACTTCCTTCGGAGGTTTCCCAGGGTCAAATCCTCCCACTGCTTGATCCACATCTGAATGAGCTGCCTGTGCATAACTTCCTGGAACTGACAAAAGACAAACAGGAACATGACATTGAAAATGGTCATAAAGGTTATGCATTTCCAATGTGTGGAATCAAGCTCCTGTATATTTTTTGGCATATAATGAAGTTATTGGTTTTATCTTAAAGCTTGTTCATTTACCTTGTTTTTAATGAATACAATATCCATCTACCTTGAATATAACTTAATATATCTGCAATTCACGAAGGTGGGTTGGACTAGTGTCAGAGGCAAGTAAAATTAGTGAGAAAATGGCCGGAAAAGTCTGGTAACTTACGAAGCTTGAGTGTCCTTGAAAACTGCAAAATCGCATTATTTTTTAATTTAGCATTTCCAACAGCCGTAAGTTAACAGGTATCTAACCATAAAGTGACTGCAGATAAGATCTTCAGAAACTTGAAAAATAATTCAAAATTATACCCGCTATGGACCAAAAGTTGTCAAATATTAAAATGTGGACCAATCAACTATTTTGCAGCATGTTTCTTTTATAAAATGTGATGTTTCAACTCTATGAAAGGCAAATAACTTTGTTATTTCAAAGCAGAGCATCTAATTCCGTCATTGTTTTCATGAATTCAGAATTATAATCCTGTTAAAAACCAGACTGGGAGGAACAAAAATATTCTAGAAGGGTCAAGAAAAATTTGAACAGTATTATCCAAACTCAAGATGTTGCAAAGTCCTACAGTGATGGTGCTAAAGCAGGTGGCAATCAGAAACTTTGACATATGCCCTGGGAATAGAGAAATGGCAAAACAAGTATTCAACCTGGACTTCAATACTGGAGACAAAAATCTCGGCATACGTTCGAATGATTAAGGAACATCAATTTATTCACACAAACTCACCTGAACCATGGAATTTTTGACCAGGGACAAAATCTTTTGCCTCCACCCATTTCTTTTCAAACAACTCTTTTTCTTGCTCGTGCTTTGCATGTGCCAAACTTTGCTCCAGTCCACCTTTCTTCAGCTTGACCATGTTTGACTGTAGTTGTGGCACATTCCTTTCATTTTCTGCCTTCTTACTAGTCGTTGACAGCTCTGAAGCTGAAGGAACAGCTGTTTTCACATGGTCGTACCTAGAAAAAGCAAAGAAAGTAAAGTAAGTCATTGAACAGCTCTGAAACAAACCTTTTTTTCCTCACAAGTCGTCAAGTTAACCAATAGACATTAATGAAGTGTCTTTCACATTTCCTAAAATCTGTGTTCTCCATGACCTTTATCAGATGTAATTTCATTTTCTTTTTTCAAACCGTTTGCAAATATTTCTCAAAGTACAAAGGGGACAGGTTTATCTCGTGTAAGTATGTGAACTACTTTTTATAGCAATCTTCATCTCCTCCTTTCTATGAATTTTCTTCTCACAGTACCCTTTCCAAGATACATAGCTATGAGAAATCACATCAGAAGTGCAAAATATTCAGCGAGTCCTATCTGCTCACCCCCTGCCTCTGCTTCTGCAATGCCTGCTAAGGTAAGATAATACTTTATTGTCCCAGAGGGAAATTTTTCTTGGCTGTACAGGACTGCAAAACACATACAAGAATACAAAGAAATTAAATAATATATTACTCTCATTAAAATTCAATATGAAAAAAAGTAAAGCTAACAATTAATAATGTATATATCACATCAGATGCATCATTCAACGACATGCGCAGAAAGACAAGTAGGTTCTTGATTCCACCTACCACTATAAGATCAGAGGTCTGAAAAACCCAAAACTACCGACTGACTCCAACGCCTTCACCTTCACAAACCCGAAATTCAAACCAAGTGATCTGGTATGAAAGAGATGCAACTTGCCTCTAGATTAGCAACCCCCCCCCCC